ACACCCCCTCTCTCTTTTCTCCCAGTAAGCTAAAAGTACGTACATTGAAAATCTGTATCGGACAACCAAGGCGGCGAGCGAGCAAAAAGTTTTCTGGCGCGCGGGAGGGGCCGTGATGGGGTTCATGATGGGGTGGCCTCCGTCGACCGGCTTCTCGGCAAGGCGAAGCCATGGAACCCCTTGGCAGTTCCGCATCAGAAATTACTTTGGGGCGCACCCCGCTGCGGCCGGCCGGCTACCAACACACCGCATGCTTACCCCGTCTGCGCCCCTTGGCCCTCTCTCGTTTTTCTCCAGGTTGATCTCCTTTAGACGCGTTGGGTACCCAAGGCGTAGCAAAGGGCTTGCGCTCGTCATCACCACTGTGGCCGCTGCCATCTTCCTCGCCGTCTCCAGCCACTTGGGCGGCGGCCAAGACCGGCAGATCATCGAGACGGTCGGCGCGATGGTTGTGTCGTCGCTGGTCGGCAAAGCAGTCAGCACAGTCGTCTCCGCCGCAGTGGAGGAGGCGATCGTGATGGACGTATTTGACCAGCGCAACAAATGCTACGAGAGCTACCTCGCCCACCCGTGGTCCTCTTGCCGGGAGGGGTTTGTTGCGGTGAGCAAGCAGTGGACGTATCTGCACTGCTGCCCCTCCGAGCCCTCCGACTGCTATGCGGTATCTAACTGCTTTGGAGATGGGCCCTGTGCCGATGGCTACGTCCTCGTTGAAGAAGGCGGCTGTCGCGACGTTTGCTGCCCGGCGGACCTCTCGCGCTCGCCCTGCTTTGAGTCGCAAAAGTGCTTTTACGACTGCCCCGCGGAGTACCGAAAGGTGGAGGCGGGATCCTTTCTCGATATGCCCCTCCCTGAGAGCCTCTCGTGCGCCGACACGTGTTGTCCGACCCGGCGTTGCTTTGCGTCCAAGCTCTGCAACGCACAGGTGCGCTCGTCGCTCCATCCGGTGTGTGCTTCCGCCGCTCTCATCGCTCCCCGCTCGTGGTCGCACGCAGGAGTTGGCGTTTCTGCCGGAAGACGTCTCCTCTTCGGCCGGCAGCGTGCTCGGCAGCTCGTTTGGCGACGAGAGAGACTGCCCCCACGGCTTCGAGGCCATCCCGTTGAACACGTCGTCGCTGCCGTGGGAGCAGCAAGCGGCTTTCAAGGCCGCCGACCCCTTTGGCTGCCTCGACATTTGTTGCGACGAAGAACTTCTCCAAGAGGGCGGCGAGGCGGGAGGCGGCGAGGCGGCGGCCGCAACAGCCGATGTCGTCTCCGATGCTGCTGCGCAGGCCGCATCGATGGCCACGTCGCAGGCCGTCAGCGGTGCCATCGGGGCCGTCAGCGGCGGCGGGTGAGCATTCCTTCGCTCCTGGCCGAGATCGAGGTCTAGGCGAGAAACTCGGCCGTCATCAGCTGGATCACACGTCACGCGCACTATCGCGCACGGAATAGCTCGTCGTGCATGCAATTTTATCGTCGTTGGTACATCTGAGCGTTTGAGGCGTGAGGCGTGAGAGCGGCCTGAGCCGCCTCGCGTTCTCCCGGAGATTCTCCGTTCACGTGCAAGCCCCAAGCGCCATCAGTATCTGTTGTGTGTGTTGGACCACATATACCTCTAACACATGGCGGCATGGCGCGCGCCGCGCCCCCGCGGGGGCGGGCGTGGGCGGGCGGGGGGCGGGGATATCTCTGCCACAGCCAGCGCGCCAGCCGCCACTGCACAGTCCCCCGACCCCCGGCCCCGCTCGCCGCTGGCGCTGCGCTCACTACTGACTACTGTGTTAACACTGATCACTGATCCGACTGTATCAGACTGTCACATACACAACACTGTGGTGTGTTAGCTGTTACTGTTACGTGTTAGTCTGGGTGGTGACCTAGTGTGTAGAATATGGCTGATACAAGAGTAATAAATCAAAGACACATAAGAACCAACAAGCAATAATCGGCGCGCACGCACGCATGCTCTCCTCAGGAGCGTGGAGGAACACGGCTCTCCGGACCACACATTTTTCTCTCATCTCATTCCGGAGTGCGGCAGGTGAACTGGAACTCCTTGTGTGGCATCCTGCCGGAGCTGTCGAGACCGGCGGCGCGAGCTCACGCGAGGAAGGACATGACGTCGCCCGGTGAGACGCGCTCGGTCTTTGTCCACACCTAGCGGGGCCACAGGGCGTCGGTGCGCGAAGGGAGATGCGCAGAGGGAAGCGGCGGGCAGAGTGGTGGTGGGTGGGCGGGAGGGAGGGAGGGTGAGGGGCAGGGGATTCCGGCTTGGCGTTCGGGGTTCGCTCGTCTCCGCACACACGGTGTCTCTGACACTCTGTTCTCTCTTGCTAACCACGTCGAGTGCCGGGGCCGGGGAGGGCGGGCGTGGCCTAGGGGCGTGGCGCGCCTCCGAGGTGCGAAGGGACGCGGCCGCCTCGGAGGCGGTTTCGTCGATGGAGGAGGAGCGGGAGGGGGCGTCGTCGTACGCGAGCGAGACGGAGTCGCCCTCCGCGCCTGCCAGCTTGGCGAAGGGGCGCACCTGTGGGGAGGAGAGGCGGATGGCTGTGGGGGGCGAGCAGTAGGGCCAGCAAGGGAGGAGATGCAGTAGGAGATGCAAGAATGGGAAGGGGGGTGGGAGGGCTGCGGTTGGGGCTCGAGGCAGCGGCGGGGAGAGGCGCGCCGTGGGGGGCAGCTCGCAGCCCGAGGCGGTCACGAACTCACCGCCGTTGATGGAGAAGGACAGCGTGCGCGGCGAGGCGGAGAGGTCGACCTTGTGGGGCGCGTGGAGGCGAGGGAGTGAGGAGAAGGGGAGCGAAGAGGAGCGGAGACGGGGCAGAGGAGAGGAGAGGAGAGGAGTCCGGTGGCAGCGGAGGCACACCTTGACGGTGACGGTGGTGCCGTCCTCGAGCGAGTCCTCCGAGCCTGTGCAGACGCGTCAGGGACACGTCAGTGGGCGTGGCGGGGACGTGTCCAGGTCCGGTCCTCGAGCCCTCCGGGCCTGGGAGGCCGCCCGGGACGAGGGCGCCGTTCCCGCGCGCGTCGTTCCATGCGAAGAGCTGCGGCACGGCGGCGGAGCGTCAGTTTGGCGGTCGGAGGGAGGGGAGGGGAGCGGGCGTGGGCGCAGGTTGGGCAGGCGGCGGAGCGCTCACGTTGCAGCCGTGGCAGCCCATCGCCCAAGCCTTGCCCCAGGAGTCGGAGAGGAAGTCGGCGTCCGCGTCCGCGACGCCAACGTACAGGCCGAGCCCGTCGTTGCCCTGCGACTTGCGGATCGTCCACGAGAAGGTGCCCTGCCCTCGCTGCGCCGGGTGCATGAGCTGAATGCCGGTGGAGCCAACCACGACGGCGCTCGCGTCGCTGCCGCCGGTGCGTGTCGCAATCACGCCGCCCCCGACGCGCACGTTGTCCCCGTGCTGCCCGAGGGTCGGCAGAACCTTCTTGGGGGCCTCATAGGCAAGCTGTGCCTTCGAGTCGCGCTGGAAACCCCAGTCGAAGGCCTCGGTGACCTGCTGCGTCTGGCGGTTGGCGGAGCCGGAGGGAGAGGGGGAGGTCGTCGGCCAAGCGGTGGGGGTGGGGTTGCGCGGAGTGTGTATTGGTCGCGTGTCGGGAGAGGGGTGCACAGGCGCACCATTTTGTGAAGGCTTTAGGTTTCGGCAGTGATGAGAAGCGGGCAAGCTCAGAGCGCAGGTAATCACTCACGCACGCCGCTGGAGTTTTTTTCCCCGTCCTGCACACCCGCCTTCCTCGGAGGTTACCTGCCACCCACCCACCCACACGCAACAGCCACGCGCACCTTTTCCATCACCGTCTTGACGCGTGAAGCCCGCCCTTCTCGTCGTGCGTGATGGCAGGATACCCCCTGAGGGAGGGTGTAGAGGATGTAGAGTGTAGAGCGCTGTAGAGCTGTACAGCTCTACATCCGGCGCGGGACAGAGCGATGCAGATGTAGAGCACTGTAGAGCGCGATTTTGCTGTAGAGTTGGTTGTAGAGGCTCTCTCTACAGCGCCAACCAACCCGCCGGGAAGGCAGTGACTCAAAGAGGTCGGCCGCGCTAATTGGGGTGTCTCCGAGCTTACTGGAGCTCTGATGGACGGCCCTGACTACCCCTGACACACAGAGAGTCACTCCGACGGCACACAACACCCTATAACTGCGTCATGACCAGCCTGCCATGCGTCGCCGGTGCCGCATTCGTCGCAGTGCTTCTTTAGCAGGCGGTGGACTGTCGGCTGCGAGGACGGTCGCATTTGCGCGAGGCGAGGCGATCATTCAGGCGCGTTGCATGCGCCATGACTCGCGCCAGCGCGTGCGGGAGCTCCTGGCTGAGCGTTGAGTCCAGGCGAGTTGCGCTGGCCACTATCGCTACGCCGAGCCGAGCTGACGCGCCGAGGCGCCGGCCAGTCGCAGCCGTGAGGCATGCCACAGCAGCAGAGGCACCTGCCACCCATTGAGCGGGCAGACAGAAGGCCAGGGCAGCACTGGCAAGTGCAACGCGCCTCATGTCGGAGAGCGACCGTGCCTCCATCGCCGGTTATGGTGTAGAGTTTGTTGTATAGAGATTTCACGTTGTAGAGCGCCTCTACATCGCTCTACATCTGCATCGCTCTGTCCCGCGCCGGATGTAGAGCTCTACAGCGCTACAGCGCTCCAGAGCGCTCTACATCTCTACAGCTCTACACAGCGCTCTACACTCTACATCCTCTACACCCTCCCCCAGGATACCCCATCACCGCCTGATTTTGGCTGTTTCGAGCACCTCCCCCTTTGGTTGGCCTTAATCGTTACTCGACCTAGGTTCTAGTAGCCTAGGACGAGGCACGAATGAATGCGGAATGGGAGAGAGACGAACGGGCGGCTCTCGCTCGAGATGGGGGCGGTGATGTTGTGCGATCTAACTCACTGCCAAAGAAGCAACATGTACATGTACATGTGTGTATGTGCATGTGCATGTGCATGTGCATGTGCACGCATGTGACAACATGTGTGATCACTGCATTTTCTATTTCGGATGTGTCTCCGCGCATTCCCAATAGCCAGACGCACGCGCCCTTTCTGCGAGCCCCATTTTACAAAAAAATGGGCAAAAACGGGTGATTTCAAGTGTTTTGTTCATTAGCTCCGACGTCGAGGGGGCGTCCTGCAGTTAAGGGGAAACCCGGTACGCGGGGCCAACCCTCGGAGACCCGTGTTTACTTTACAGCCCCTTCCCTGCGAACGCGCACCCCCCAGGGCTAGGGCTCTCTTGCCCGCAACCCGATACCGAGCATCTGGCCCGCTGGGTGCGCTTCTTAAGTCCCCGGCCCTGGATGTGAGGTTGATGACTGCACTCCAAGTGCTCCAAGTTCGGTCATCTCCGTCATCCGTCAATATCTGAAGATCTGTATGTAGGATTCTCACCAAACCTTGCTCAGCTGATCCAGCATAAGTTCGTAGGCCAGGCCTGGGCAAAGAAACCAGTACCTCAACCGGCTTCCCTGAGCGTCACAGCTCGGTGATCGCGCCGGCCGGACACCACTGTAACGTCCGTTCCGGGCATTTGAACGCGACCTTCGTGGGCAAAGACATGGGTCTATGGCTCAGACTGGACTCCTCTTGGTCCCTTCTGATGCCCTATGTTCTCAGTCGCAGTCTACGCAGTCTATTCACAGTCTAGGCAGTCTGTACTGAAGAGACTGGCGGGGCAGCTAGGTCGAGTAAGGCCAAGGGGGAGGTGCTCGAAACAGCCAACCAATCAGGCGGTGATGGGGTATGCGCGTGTGTGGGACAGACCGGTTGTTGTCCTATGCGCGGGGCTACGGGCGCACATCGGTCATCGCGAGAAGAAGAAAATCATCGCCTGGTTTCCTGCCATCAGCATCACGCACGACGAGAAGGGCGGGCTTCACGCGTCAAGACGGTGATGGAAAAGGTGCGCGTGGCTGTTGCGTGTGGGTGGGTGGGTGGCAGGTAATCTCCGAGGTAAAGGCGGGTGTGCAGGACGGGGAAAAAAACTCCAGCGGCGTGCGTGAGTGATTACCTGCGCTCTGAGCTTGCCCGCTTCTCATCACTGCCGAAACCTAAAGCCTTCACAAAATGGTGCGCCTGTGCACCCCTCTCCCGACACGCGACCAATACACACTCCGCGCAACCCCACCCCACCCCTTGGCCGACGAACTCCCCCTCTCCCTCCGGCTCCGCCAACCGCCAGACGCAGCAGGTCACCGAGGCCTTCGACTGGGGTTTCCAGCGCGACTCGAAGGCACAGCTTGCCTATGAGGCCCCCAAGAAGGTTCTGCCGACCCTCGGGCAGCACGGGGACAACGTGCGCGTCGGGGGCGGCGGTTGCGACCCGCACGCGCCGGCGGCAGCGACGGACGGAGGGGGGGGGGGGGACGGCCAGGGCCTCCCTCCCTCCATCCATCCATCCATCCATCCACAACCATCATCCATCAACCATCCATTGACGAGCTCGAACACGGGCGACGGCGAGGTATTTGGGGACTTTCGTTGATTTTTTGGTCGCAAGTAACCTTTCCTGATCGCAATTCCACTTCTCGCCCCCCGAATCCCGCTCGAGCATTTAAGTTCTGCCAGAACGACCACTTCCTACGCGTGCCATGCAGCCTTCGGAGGGGCTTCGCCGGCGAGGCAACACAGTAGCGATGCCCGAGGACACGCCGACGCCCGTCGAGAAGCCCAAGCGGACCAAGGGCGAGAGGGCGCTCTGCATGTGCGGCTATGCGGGCATGGTCTTTCTCGCGGCATTCTTCGTCTGCGCCGGCCTCGGTGCGCCCGAGACTACTTCCCAGACAGCCCTCTCGAGCAGTCCCCGCCCTTGTCAGCCACCGCCCTTTCCGACCGACGCGCCACCTCCGCCCGCACCGCCGCGTCCGTGGCTCCTCCTTGTCCACAGGCGCATTTGCGATCGCACGATTTTACATCTACAGCCACAGCGGTCTGATGCTCAGCTTGGGGCACTACTTTGAACCGTACTCGCACCTCCCGCCGCTACATGGAGTCGATGTTGCAGTCAACTACCACGTGCGCGCGCGCTCGCCCTCACCTGCTCCTCCTCGTGACCCGGGAGCCCTGCTGCCACCCCGCGCATGCTCACGGCGCCGCTTGCATGGCGCGCAGAGGGTGCGGGCGGATCGAGCCGCCAATGCGAAGAACGAGGTGCTGCTTGCGGGCGAGCGCGCGCGTGCGACCATCGCCGAGCAGGGCAAAGAGTGGAGCTCGCACTGGGAGCACCTCTAGCAGATGCGCGCGCCCCGGGAGCCGGGACACCCAGCCGACAGCTCGAGCCGAGGCTGCAATGGGACGCACCCCTCTGAAATGATTAATTCTTTTTCCTTTTTTAAAAAATAAAAAAGAAATCTGCGACGCGCCCGCCGAGCTCTGGTGCGGCCGCCGCTGCGAGCGGCTCTACCAGAGCTGTCGCACCATCCCAAGCGGCCGCTGCGCTGCAGCAGCGACAGTGAGCTCACTGTGCCACTCGTCCAGCGCTCCAACAGCCTCCCTCTTCCATCTCCAAGGGCTGGCGGGTCGGTCGCCGTCGCAAAGGCGGCGCGGAGCTGCAGCGGCCACCGCTTCCTCGTGCTGCTCGCCGTGCTGTCCGTCTCGATCCACCTAACCCTGTACCTCTTCGCGTCGCGGCTGGGCGAGGTGCTCGCTGCGGGCAAGCAGGCCGCGGCGACGCAGCGGCTGGTGGACCCGAGCGACAGCCGCGGCTCGGGTGGGGTGTTGCCGCTGCGGCCGCCGCCGGGTGCTGGCTCGTCCGTCGGCGGGTGCGAGGAGAGGAAGGGCCTTTCGGTGCTGCTGATCCACGAGCACCACCTCAAGGCGATCGGCTCCGACCTGCGGCTGCTCGGCCTCCTCCTCCAGCTGCGCGAGCAGGGCCACCGCACCTCGCTGCTCTTCCGCGGCAGGACGCCGCGCGAGGAGCGGTCGCCGCCGACGAGCGAGCTGTACCGGATCATCGGGGCGGAGGACCTCGGCGACCCGCTCGCGCTCGGCGGGCAGGCCACCCCACGCACGCCGCCTTCCATCTACGAGATGCAGGACCTGCACGGCCTCGTGGCGCTCGCAAAGCAGGGCTGGTTCGACGCAGTGCTCTGCACGTTTTGGTTCTGGCGCGACCCGGCGCCTTCGGCGGCGGAGCTGCTGCTGCCGACGCTGCTCACGCACGCGCCGGCCGGGAGGAGGCCTTTCGTCGCCGTCCTCTCCGACGACGCCCACTCGGCCAAGGCTGCGATGATGGCGGGCTGGGAGCACGTCGAGGAGCGAAAGGCGCTCTGGAGGGGCAAGATGCACTCGCTGCCGCCGCGGCAGCACGCAGTCTACTCGCTCGCCGACGCGGTCGTCCACATCTCCGAGACCGACGCGCGCCTCGAGCGGGCAGCCCCTCGCTGCCCACCTCACACCTCTGCCGCTCCGCCCCTCGGCCCGCCACTCCACGGCTGCCTGCTTCTCAGGCGGCCTTCAACGGGACCGCCCGCTACTGGCGCGTGGTGCGCATGTCTCTCCGCTCCTTCACGCGCGAGGGCGGCGCCGACGACGGGCTCGAGTCGATCGACGACGCAGCAACCCGCCCGGCCACCACGTGTGGGGGCGGAGGGGGCGGAGGGGGAGGGGGCGGAGGGGGCGGGGGCGGAGGGGGCGGGGGCGCGGGCTGGTCGGCGGGCGGCGTGCCTTGTGTTGGGTTCGTGGGCAACGGCGTGACGCCGACCAACCACCTTGCGATCGAGTGGTTCCTCGACCAGGCGCGGGGCTGCCGAGTCTCTCGGCGGAGTCTCGGCTTGCCACCTCACTGCTTGGTTTCTCCTCTTCCCTCCCTCCCTCCTTCCCTCCCTCTTCCTCGCACCCTCCCTCTCCCCATCTGCGCCCCTCCTGCCCGCCCCCTTCGCGAGCCCCACCCTTGGCGGCTCCTCCAGGTCTGGCCCGGCTTGCGCGCCAAGGTGCCCGGCCTCCGCCTCCGCCTCGTCGGCAGCCAGAGAACCTTCTGCAGAAGCGGCTGCGGACGCCTCCGACCACCCGCCCAGGGCGCTGTGCTCCGTAGGCCTGCGGCCGGACGAGCGCCCAAAGAAGCTGCGCGGCGAGGGCTGCGCGCAGCGAGGGGCGGGCGGGGCGCGCTGCGGGTGGGCGTGGGGCACGCGCTTCGCTGGGCGCGAGGAGGAGAGCGGGATCGATTCGCTCGGTTTTCTGTCGGAGCAGGACATGCGCGCAGAGCTGACTTCGTGGCGCGCGCGCGCGCGCGGGGGGGGAGGGGAAGTGGGGGGGGGGGGGGGGGGGTGTGCCCGAGAGAGCGGCGTGCCATAGGTAGGCACAGCACGAACGAGGCTCAGCGCACAACACGAACGCGGTGCGCCCCATCTCCACCCGCGTTGCCACGATGTCACGCCTCGCCCTCCGCCTCCGATGCCTGCCGAGGGAAGAGCTCGCAGAATTCGCTGCAGAGGCAGCACTCGCCGCGGGACTGCCGCTGCGCAATGAGGCCGACCGCCGCATCGCCCTGCACGCGCCAATCCCAGAGTGGGCCCTCTCAAAGGTGCTGCTCGATAAGGACCTGCTGTCGCTGATTCTCGGCAAACTGGAGGTGACCGACCTTGCCGCGGCGAAGGTCTGCACGTCGTGGCGCGCGTGGTGGTGGGCCACAAAGTCGCGGCGGACGCCGTGCTTGCGCCTTGGGCCAATGCCGGAACCGACAGGCGATTCCGTCTTCGCGCGGCCGTCATCAAGGGGGGGCCTGCTCGAGGTAGGAGTGATCCACTCCATGACGGCATCGCCTGGCGGCGAGCGGCTGTACCTCACCGCGTCGCCGCCTGATGTTGACGAACAACGTCTGCTGGTGCTCGACCAAAGCTTCTCGGTGGTTCAGACGCTCAGCTATACGGCCCGCGGTATCCTCGCCGCGCAGCACTGTCTGTACGCTTGGTTCGAGGAGCGACTGTTTTGCCTCAAGCTGAGAGACGACGGCTTGCTCAGTCCTTCCCTGATGATGTGAGGGGCAACGAGGACGAGGTTGACTTGAAGATTAGTTCGGTTGCACTCGGCGATGGAACGCTTTATGTAAGCACATACTCCCCCAGGAGGAATTACAGCGAAGGGGGGTATGGACCCGTGCTCTCCATCGACCCCGACACACTTGCCGAGCGGTTCCGATTTGACGCCAAGAAGCACTTCTTTGATCAAGACCAGTTCAGCCATTCGGGTTCTTTGACAGTGGTGGGGACAGAGCTCTATTTCCTCGACCGCGTGTCGTTCCCGTGGCACTGGGACGACCGGCTCGGGGAAGATTACAGTTGCTTCCACGTCTTCTCGCTGACGGGCGAGTACTTGCGGAAGATGCGGTTGGGCGGAGTGGAGAGCCCAGAGGCATGCCTGTTTCTTCACGGCCGGCTGTACGTGAGAGACTCTGGCTCTGCGAGCTTCGACACGCCCCCTCGGGTCAATCAAAAGATCTTTGTCTTCGCCCCCGATGGCACCACGCTGCAATGCTACGAGCACGGACAGGTCGTTGGCGGTGAAATGTGCTCGTTCGGAAACGGGCTTTTGGTCACGGAGTGTGAGAGTGGGGTTAGGTCCACTGGGGGAGGGGTCTATGCCGGTATGGTCCCGACCCACTTTGGGTTCCTGTCCGGGCTGTGATAGTGAGACGAGAGGGACATAAAGATATTAAGGGTCCGGGATGCCGCGGAGATGTTAAAAAGGAAATAAAAAAGCCGACAATGTGACCGATTTCTTTGTTTGAGCTAGACTTCGATGTTAATAACAAGCGAAGGCAGAGAAAGAAAGAAAGAAAGAAAACAGACAACCCAAGGGAGGGATGGGAGGTGGGAGGACGGCACGCCGCCACCACACAGGGATTTTAAGGAGAGGTGTGTGATGCGCTAGCCGTCGCCCACCCTAGGGAGTCCTCTGGGGGGGCGCGGGGGCCCCCGGAGGCACCGTGCGCCGCGCAGCAGTGCGGAAACGGGGCTCCGGCGCTCAGAGTCGCTCAGAGCACCGACTTCCCGAATGATTACGGTTGATTAGAGGGCAGATTCGGAGAGATCTCGAGGAGTACATACAGATAGACCCTCCAATCATCAGCAAACTCCGACCTGTTCGGTCGTACTGACCGCCGACAGATCACTCCAGACAGCAGACAGGCCGACGTCTGCACGCGGCTGGCCGGGCGAGAGGCTTGACACGATCCGACCCTGCGAGACCCTGACGCTGCTGCTCTAGCTATCAGACATGCACTGCTGACTGCTGCCACAATGTGCGACCTGTGCTGGCCCACTTGGCGGCCTTCCCGGTCAGTGGTGAGGCGCAGTTCAGAGCTGTCGATGGCGCGATGCCGCACTGGTCCCACATTGGTGACACGAGACCACCAAGTTTTCCGGTCCAAGAGAGAGGCACCGGCGCTGTCCTGAGAAGGTGCGTGGTCCCTCCTGACTGCCCATGCGCGCGAGGCTGTGTAGGCATAGCCTCGAGAGTGCCAGCAGCCAATCTGAGGCAGTTTGTGACGCGCATTGCGTCAGAAGCGTGCACACATTGGAAGGACACCTTCCTACTGACCGTACGATCAGGTCGTCACTGAATGCTTGATACTAAGGCCGCGAGCTATGCAGGTGATCAATTGTGCAGCATGGCACGGTCAGCAGCGCCGACAGGCTGTCGCAAGGCGTGATAGCATGGCCGCAAGTACGCCGAATTCCCATGAAAACAAGTGAAAAATCGCGCACAAAAGAAAAAAATCCCGCAAATCGGCGCCTGCGGCGGGCCATCGGACCCCATCTCCCCCCCGCATGGATACCCTCTAGGGCCCCCGCGCCCCCCCAGAGAGGGAGTCTGCCTCTTCCTATCTCTCTTCGCAGTCTCTCGCCGCTTCTCGCTGCAACCTTCATGCCACCTCGCGGTCGTCCCACTCTCGTCGTTCTCTCCCTTGTCATTTCCTCCTCTGTCGCGTCGTTCTCTTCTGCCTCGTCCTGCGACGCCGCCGCCTGCCGGTCCCTTGTTCTCGCGGCTTCTTTCGCCTTTCGGCGCAACTCCGTCCTCCTCGCGGCGTATCCTGGCCCCTCGAGTCTATCGAGCTCCCCTCGCGCAAGGACCACATTTCTGACTCCCACTCCGATCATGCAGGAAAAAAAGAAAAAAGAAAGAAAACGGACAACCCAAGGGAGGGATGGGAGGACGGCACGCCGCCACCACACAGGGATTTTAAGGAGAGGGGTGGTGCGCTAGCCGTCGCCCACCCTTTGGGCGTCCGCCTCTTCCTATCTCTCTTCGCAGTCTCTCGCCGATTCTCGCTGCAACCTTCATGCCACCTCGCGGTCGTCCCACTCTCGTCGTTCTTTCCCTTGTCGCTTCTTCTTCTGTCGCGTCGCTCTCCTCTGCCTCTCGTTCTGCGACGCCGCCGCCGCCTGCCGGTCCCTTGTTCTCGCTGCTTCTTGCGCCTTTCGGCGCAGCTCCGTCCTCCTCGCTGCATATCCTGGCCCCTCGAGTCTATCGAGCTCCCCTCGCGCAAGGACCACATTTCTGACTCCCACTCCGATCATTTGCCTCCAAGTCATGTTGTTGCTCAGGTCCACTCTCTCTTCGAACACTCGTGCCTCTACGGATGATGCCGGCGCTGGGGCCCCCTTCGGATGCATCGTGACATCTGACAACTGAATTTCCACTGGTTCGTCCTCCTCGGAGTCATTCATCTTCCCCGTCCTCCTTCCGCTCGGCTCTTCGCTCGGTACGTTCGGTGTGGCTCACCCTCCATGCCGTGAACAGGCGCTTTATCCACCCTATATTCTTCTCTCGTTCCTCTGCCCGTGCCTTGGTCTAAGCGAAGGCACACACAACGCGCCGCCGTCACGCTTTCTTTTTTATCCATCTTGCGGACGACGCTAATGGAGACGCTGATTGGCGGTTCGGAGCTTTGGAATCTGGTGGGCGGCTGGCAGGTCGTCGTCACCGATGGGCACGCGCAGCTGCCCGAAGGCATGACGCGCCTGCCGGACCAGGCGTTCCACGGCCGCACCGCGCTCGTCTCAGTCGCCTGCCCGCACAGCCTCGTCTCCATTGGCCGCTGGGCCTTCCTCGATTGTAGCTCCCTGACCGCCATCAGCTTCCCCGCCGGCCTCACGTCTCTTGGCTACGCCGCCTTTCACGGCTGTTCCTCGCTCTCCTCTGCCGACCTCCCCGCCGGACTCGCCTCCATCAGCGACTTCGCCTTCCACAGCTGCGCCTCCCTCACCCGCGTCGGCCTCCCCACCGGCATCACCTCCATTGGCGACGGCGCCTTCCACAGCTGCTCCTCCCTCGCTTCCCTCACCCTGCCCGCCGGCCTCACCTCTGCCGGTGGGCGAGCCTTCTTTGCCTGCTCGTCCCTCGCCTCCATCGCCTTCCCCGACAGCCTCGTGTCCATTGGGAGCTACGCCTTCTCTGATTGCTACTCACTCGCCTCCGTCGACCTCCCGGACAGCCTCGCGACCATCGGCCAGGGCGCCTTCCACAGCTGCTCCTCCCTGACCTCCCTCGGCCTCCCGACCGGCCGCACCTCAATCGGAGAAGACGCCTTCCGCGGCTGCTCCTCCCTCGCCTCCGTCACCCTCCCCGCTGGCCTCCTCACCGACGGTGTGCCCGCCTCAAAGCTGCGGCCCATCCTGCGCGCCCTGCAGTCGCACGAGTGCTCGAAGCCGTTCCGCGTGCCGGTGGACTACGTGGCGCTCAACCTGCCGCACTACCCGACCATCATCACGCAGCCGATGGACCTCGCCACCGTCTCCTCCAACTTTGAGCGGGGCAGGTACGCCACGGTCGCCGACCTGAGGCGCGACATCGACCTCATCTGGCAGAATGCGATCGACTTCAACGGGCCGACGTCGTGGGTCGGGGTGCTCGCGACGACCCTCAGGGAGATCGCGGAGCACGAGTTTAGCACCTCGATCGGCCGCAACGCCTTCGCCGGCTGCTCCTGCCTCAACGACGTCTCCTTCTCTGCCGGCGGCCGCACCTCAATCGATGGGGGCGCCTTCTACGGCTGCTCCCTCACTCGCGTCACCGTGCCAACCACTGCCAAGGTCGGCGGCGACGCCTTCCCCTCCACCACCACCGTCCTCCGCCTCCCTCCCGCAAAGATGCGCTGGTACGCGGCGGTGGGTGCGGCTCTCGCCTACAAGCGCTGCCGCTCCGGCCTTCTCCTCTGGCTGGAGCGGGCCAACATCAGGCTCGGCTCTTACGGCCCGGAAGGCGCGGCGCGCAAGCGCGACCGCGAAGAGTTCGAATGCGATTTTGCGCCCAGCCAAGAGCAAGACGGCTCCTGCTCTGGCGTCCAGGACCTGAGCCGTGAGGGTAACTAGAAGAGAATAGGACTCGTTCCTTTACACTTCTCTTCTCAATTAACGTTGAGCGTTTTTGATCTCTCTTCTCGGAACGCCGATGACAAGGAGCACTTGGACAAGGGGAGAATTCTTTTTTGAGCTAGACTTCGAAATAGAAACAAGCGAAGGCACAGACAACATGACGCCAAACACACGATTGCACGCACCGCACCGCACCCAGCACCCGCGCCCGCCGCCCCCCCGCCCCGCCGAGGTGGGAAGAAAAAAAAAGCTTTCCGCGCACCGGCCGGCCGAGGAACCTGCTCTCTCCGTGGTGGAGGAACGCTCGGCCCGGCGGAGGAACTGATCTCCGCTCAGCTCCGTTCCCACTCCCGTTGCCACTCGCTCGCTTGCTAGCTTGAGTCGGTGCCTGAACCCTTCAAAGTAGCAGCACGCAACAAGCCCTCTTCATGCGTGCCTGCCTGCGGACAATCCTCTTCGTCGCCCAGCCGCCGCTGCGCCGCGCCCACTCGGCCGCCAGAGCGGCGGCCGCAGAGCTTCCGCGCCGCTATCTCGCGCCGCCCGCGCTGCCCGAGCCCGGTGTCGCGTGCTGCGTCAGTCACTACGAGGCGATCGCGCTGCACACCGCGCTTCAGCCTCGCCGGCCCGACTCAGCGAGCGGCTCCGTCTCCCTCGGGAGAGGCGACCTCGGCGCCCTCACCGTAGACCTCGGCCTGGCGCGTCCGGCGAGCGCAGAGGTGTCGGCGTCGCACGTGCGGCTGCGTGGCACACGCGGCATCGAGGGCGAGGAGGAGTGGACGGCGTGCGTGCCGTGGGCGTTCCTCGACCGGGTGGCGCGCAAGCGGCGGGCGGGCGTGTGGCAGTGCTACGCTCCAGGGCAGGGTGAGGCGGAGGCCGCGGAGGAGGCAGAGGAGGATGACCTCGCGCCGACAAAGGTGGAGGGTCTTAGCGAGCTGACGAGCCGGCCCGCCTCCCTGCTCCCGCTGGACGAGGCCTCGCCGACGCCGCCAACCGCCGTGCTGGGCGGCTTCAACATGCACCGCACCAAGGGCATCGACCCGGCGGGAGACACGGACAACAAGCTGCGCGCGCTGGGGAAGAAAGGCGGCCGCGTGCTCGACGTGTGCACAGGCCTCGGCTACACGGCCTGCGCCGCTGCGCGGCGTGCTGGCGTGCGCGAGGCAACAAGCCGAGATGCGCCGAGATCAGACGAGAGGAGAGGTGCCGAGACGCGTGCCGAGGCGCGCCTCGCCAGGTGGTGACGGTCGAGCTCGACCCCGCCATGGTCGAGCTGCAGCGCGCCAACCCGTGGTCGCGGCAGCTCTTCGACGACCCAAAGATCACGCGGCTGCTCGGCGACGCGACGGAGGTGCTGCCCGCGCTGCCAGAGGGGTGGCGTGGCCGCCCGCCGCCTCACGACCCGCGAGACGCGTCCGCGACACGCCCGGCGCCGCGCCGGTAGGTACTTTGACGCTGCCGTCCACGACCCGCCCGCCAACGCCATGTCGGGAGAGCTCTACTCGCTCGAGGTGTACCGCGCGCTGCGGCGGCTGCTGCGGCCGGGCGGGGTTCTCTTCCACTACGTGGGCGACCCGGCCTCGAAGGCGAGCGGAAGGCTCTTCAAGGGCGTGCTGCAGCGGCTGCGCGAGGCGGGCTTCGACGCAAAGACGACTCCCGCAGCGTACGGCATCACCGCGGTCGCACGGTGAGGGTTTTGTTTTTGCAGTCTGAATTGACCGACGCCCGAGCTCATACTGCGCTTTGTGCAGCAGCCTTTTTATTCACTCAGTGAACCTCTCTGACACACACAGCAAAACTTACGAGCAGGGTAACGGGGCTCGGTACGAGCCCTCGACCGCTCGAGCTCGTGTAGGTCCGAGACCTCGTCGGACGGCTCGAAGCTGGTAAATTACCCTTGTAACTAGCCTGGTTACGACCCGTTACGACCCGTTACGAGCGCCTGCCCAACTACGAGCCGTGCCACGAGCTCCTCGTAAACCAGGCTAGTTACAAGGGTAGTTTACGAGCCCCCCGTTACCCTGCTCGTAGTTTTGCTGTGCACGCCTATAGACACACGCCTACCTGCTACTTGCTTTGCTGAGACTCACATTCCCAAGGCCGGTAGCCTGGGTGCACATTACGACTGTACCGCACGAGAGTGGGGATATGTATGGAACACTGGATAAAAAATACGTCCACCCCTCACTGGCTCCGTCATGGTACGTCATGTTCATACCAGTCCGCGGCAGCGGTCGCCGTCTCAGTGACGTGCCGCAGTACGGCTCGACTGCTCTGACAATGAATCGCCTCAGAGGCGTGCTCGGCCGGAGCATATTATTGGCAGCTCATATCGGTTTACGGTCGCTTGCGAACTATAATATGCGAGAGAGAGTACATACATAATATGCAAACACTGTCGCGACCGGCCAGCCCCACGCACTTGGACACCTTTTGAGTCAATGCAGCTCAACCTTCTGTAGCCGGTGTGTCGCATCTTTGAATAGCACGAGATCTGCGCGCTCACGCAGTGGCTGCTCATGCTGGCGCAAGAATGGCAGTATCCATAGCTCCCACATTTGACGGAGCCTGCGTGTATGCTCGTTAGTCCATTTGAGGTTGTGCTCACGCTCATAGTCCCGGCGGCTTGACTGAAGCTTCCAGTGCCAAACGTGCTCCGGCTCGGCATCCACATATATCATGAAGTCAATGGGAGCATTGAGGTTGGTGTAGTCAAAGTTTCTCCCATGCAGCTCACCAGATGGTACACCCACCCTCCAGCCTTCAAAAAGCACAATGTCGAACGGGCCTTGGACAGGGATGCCACGCGCCTCCCGGTCATCAGTGCCCTTGTTGAAGCGCGGCAGCATGATGGGGCCATCCGAGGCACTGGCATGCTTGAGTTGTGCAATCAGCCCATCAAACTCCGGGTCGAGCGAGCGCGGGTCGAGGCGGGTGCTGATTGTGTGGGCCTCTCTCTTGGATGCCCCCATGTACAGATCATCGGAGCCAATCTGCACTATCCGGGGTGGCTGTGCGGAGGCATTGTGGAGCAGCATCTGCAGGATTTGAAGAAGGGTGCTTTTGCCGCTGCCCGGAGGCGCGTTGATGCCCACCACAAATGCTCCGGTGCATCCAGAGGCTCTGTGCTGCTGCCAGCGCTTCACAATCAGGGTGGCCAGAGGAATGTATCCCTTCCACAGATCGCAGCTGCCCAAGCCCAAGGCGGACAGAGGCTGCTCGTTTACCCCCGTTGCTGTGAGGCTGGCTCGGATCTCCTGCGTGGCAACATCCAGCAGTTGCCAACGCTGCTCAAGGTGGACGGCCACGTTTGCTGGCGTTATTCCAAAAGTGGCTTCCTGCGGATCCGTGAGAAGGTCGACCTCCAGCACCCGTCTTGAGAAGGTCCGCGCACTTCGCAAGTGCGTGTCCAAGTTCTCACGGCTTGGGGAGGAGAGGTTACCACTTGCAGTGCGCAGGAAAGGTGATTTGGGAAGCATAATTGTCGTGGTCATGTCCGTCATCGCGGTCTTCGTCACCACGATGTTCGCGCGAAGGCAGGCACCCGCGCCCTGCATCCTTTCAGGGTTGTCGTGCCGATTGCACGGCCTACATATGGGCGCGATGAAGCAACCCTCGCCTCTAATCCACACGTGGCCGCCCACCTCGGCCTGGTTTGGGCAGCCGTCGAACGAGCACCGCCCTCGCCTTCGCCCGGTCGCTTCCTCCGCGTCTCGGAGCCATGATCCGCTCTCAGCTTGAGCGTCCGAGCTTCCGTCCATGTTCCACGCTTCGACGGCTCCATCGAAGGAGACGGTCTCCTCCTCGTCTTCATCGTCCTCCTCCTCCTCTTCCTCGTGGTCGTCCATCGCACCACGCCACCGTTTCGACGACATCAAGAAGGATCTGCAGGCTGGGCCTCGAAAGAAGCATGGGATGCGAGCGTCTCGCAAGGCCGACAAACAGGGCAGAAGGCAAGCCGGAGACACGCAGCTGACACGTCCCGCACATGTACATGCACCTACCTGCTTGCTTTGCAGTTTGCTGAGACTCACATTCCCAAGGCCGGTAGCCTGGGTGCACATTACGTTTTCCCTCACGAGAGTGATGGGATAAAAAAGAAACTCGACGCCCGATCTTCCGGCGGCGCCACGCTCAAGGGACCAGGGACTGTCCAGAGTCATGGCCACTGGCGCCACTCCTGGTGCGCCGTCCCTCGATGTGCTCCTCGGCCGCTCGGCGTCCACTGGATGGGCGCTGATCGGCATCGAGAGACTGTCATGCTACGAGCCTCAACGCTGGACTGCAGCAGCCGACTTGCGTGCGAGAGTGACGCCCTGGGGCCTCCGCTTTGACGGCGAGCTTCTGCAAACCGATGACCCAAGCATGCACTTTTACGTCCCAATCACCAAGCTGCCGATGACGATGGAGATGGCATGCGGCGTACTTTCAGTGTCGCTCCCATCCACCACCTCCGCCACCACCGCCCCTCCCACCTTCGACAGCTCATTCCGCACCGTGATTTACCGACAGCGATTCAGCTGGCGTGACTGGAGGCTCGAAGATTATGATGTGGGAGAGGCAACAGGCTACATCGCTGCCGGCGACAGCATGCGCGCTCGTGCTGCGGCGCTCAACGCAGCCGGCATCGAAGCCGTGGACGCGTGGACCCCAGTCTTCCAGCCGAGCGACTGGTTGTCGGCTTTCGCCTATCTCTCCTACCAGTTCAGCCAGATCAGGTACCTGCTCGGCGGCCTGACGGCGGACAGCGCAGGCGAGCCCGTCTCGGGCCTATGGCGCCAGGTCGAGAGCCGTTCCTTCGATTCGAAGCGGCTCGCCCACGGGCCGGGCGCAGACACGACCAGCGTGATCGGCAATGCCTACGCGCAAGAGGCGATGCGCAATCTCGGCCCGCGACTTCAGTCCAACGACAACTTTCGCCGCAACGAGCTCGGCACGCAAATCCTGAATGGTGAGATGTGGCCGGAGAAGCCGAATCACGCAATCGCTCTGGCAGACAACGCGCTCGACCATGGCCGTCTCCGACCTCTCCTCGATAGGTTGGTTGGCCCCGCGGCAGCGGTCTCCTCGATGGTGGAGAGAGCCATCGAAGAGGCCGCCCGTTCGTTTTGGAGCGATGCCACGGTCGCCGTCGATGCGAACGTCTTTACACAGACCATTCTGCACAAGGCGCTGCTCAACGTTTCCGTCTCCAGCACGATGGCCAGGGATTTTGCTGGGAAGAAGCAGGAGCTTCTGGTGATGGCGGGCGGCCCGCCTGCGGCGGTATGCCTGTTGGTGGATTGCGAGGGCCTCAGAGCCTGGAAGGCGGCGCGCCTGGTAGAGTACCGGACGGCACTGTCGCGAGTGGTTCCGGCCGAGTGGCAGGCCTTGTCGGACCTCGAGAAGACCAAGGTCGCGTCGGCCGTGCTGGATGCGCTGCTCTTTGCTGGTGGCGTCTCGGTCCCTTCGGTCGTCAGTAACGCCTTTGCCGTGCTGTACGGTGAGTACGGTAGGGGGCAGCTTGGCGAAGGTTTCGAACTGCG